CCCCCTGCTCCTGCAAGACCGTCCTCTCTGTGGGCCGAGCCAGAGAAAGCAGGGCAGACTGGCAAAGCTGTTCTAGCCCTCCCACTGACCCACTTTTGTCTCTCTGCAGGATCCCTCCAGGAACCACAAGTCGTATCGCGACCTCCTCTCCAGTCTCCGCCCCCCACTCATCCCCTTCACCCCACTGCTGCTGAAAGGTGAGCTGTCAATCACCGGCAGGCCCCTCCCACTGGGGGGAGGTGCTTCCGAGCGCCAGACTGTGAGAATTTAATTGAAGCAGCTTGAGAGGCAAGGGGCCAAGGAGGGGTAGACGGGAGAGCTGCTGCAGTGTTTCTGAAGGCCAGTTTCTTGCTAAGAGCGTCTCTGTCCTGCAGAGGTTTCCTTGCACTGCTGGCATCCAGATGTGCTTCAGAAAACACGTTTTTCAAAAATACTCCCCCAGATACCACTGATGTTTTCCAGTCCAGCTGTGAGGCCGGCGGAGTGTCTTTATTAGAGACCTGTGTTAAACCCTTCTGCAATTAACACTCTCCCTTAATCGGCCCAGCCTGTCTGCCACCACCCCCCCCCTCACCAAGCTGCTCTTTAATCTGGAGGCTCGGGCACTGAGATCTGACGAGGCACAGCCTCTCCTGCTGCTCTGGGCAGAGCGACACTCGGGACTGGAGGGCAGGCTGCTCATCTGTCCACTGAAAAGTGTTTCTGGAGGGCTGTGATCTCTCTCGTCGGGGCATGCCAACTGCGTTTTTAGCTCCAGATCAGGGTGAGGGTTGTGCTGAGTGAGAAAGACCATGTGGTAGAGGAGAGAGTAGAGTAGTTTACTGTCAATGCTGATCCATCATCAGGTTTCATGTTATAAAGTGCCTTTTCATGCTGGAGACATGCTTAACCAGTCAGTACTAATACAGCAGGGCCCAGGAGAGAGACGTGTGTTTTAACTGGTGTTCACACCCAGCCAGTTGTGCGCCGGTCACCTGGGGAACCAAGTCACACACAACTAGGGACTTCCGTGACCTCCCTCAATCCGTCAGTGACCGGAGCTGTCGGAATCCGAGTCTGTAGCAGTTAAGGAACTTAAGTTCTCCATCACACCTGAGGCCCTCAGTCACCTAATCAATACTTCAGTAATCAATCAATAATCGACACTTC